GCGGCAAGCTTTGGTCCATCAGCCAGACAGCGGCTGATGTCTTAGTGGCTTCACGTTTCAGAGCAGGGCTCTACGCGGTGGAGGGCAGAAGGTTTCATGCTTTGCGCATGGAGCAGCCCTTTGGCTTGCTCCTTTTTGTCGCTACTCCCACAGACCCTGCCATCACCCATCAGAGCAAAGGATGCACATGAACAGAAGAGACCTCTGTCCATTACAGCGATTCAGAAGAGGGTGGCTGCTACCCTTTGAGATGCTTGCTCTACATCTCATTTTCAAAAGAGATCACGAATTTGTAGCAGCAGCAAAAGGCTGTATGTTTTCTGAGGGTCCAGCACAGGATTTCCAATATCCCATCCATCTTCCTTTCACAGGCAGGCATTCTCTGGGAATACAAATTCAACTGGATGCATGTTCCAACCAGCTACCCTCAAGAGTGGCTTGGGATGTTTGTTCAGTGTGCAGAAGTCAGTCTGCTTGAGTGCACCGTAACTTTTTCACTTATTGCATAAAGCCAAGGAATTATTACCAGAAACATTCATAGGTTTGGCCCCTTTAAAAAAACAAAAAGCAGTGCCTGCAAGAGTCTTCTCATTAACTACAAGCCTTCCTCCCCACCCCCCAAAAAAACACATTGTCACTCTCAAAAGTCTTTATGTCCATCTCTAAGACCATCCTGACCTTTCGCATCTGTGCTCTGCGGAAATGATCAAAGGGTCAAATTCATGGGTTAATAACTCAAAAAGAGAGAGGCCAGAACTTGCTAACAGCTGGCCTAGCTTATGGCGCTGCTATTTTCAAAGGGGTGGGACAAGGCTCTGGTTTTCAAAGCTTTCAGAGAAATGTGTGCTTAGTTTCCCCAGATCAATAACAAGGTAAAACCAAACAACAAACAAACAGGAGAAGATAGATGCAAACAGAAAGGTTATCAATGCCTCTAAGGAAAGGAGAATGATGAAATAAGAAAGGATCCTTTCCCTAGACACATCAGCTGCTGTCACACAAATCTTTCTGCCTACAAAATAAACAGGAAGCACAGGAAAGCCTTGCTATTTTGCTCACTCTGAACATCAATTCAGGATCCAGAGGTGTGCACACTACATGCATTCATCTAAATGTTTCTTATTCAGAAGGGACCATGCAGAAATCACAGGCTGTTCTTCAAAGTCCTCTGTTCACCAAGAAGTTTTCAGACATTGGCATGTTAGCATCCTAAAAAGTACAGTACCCCAACTGTGAATGTGCCATTTTCCCCAACACACACACACACAGGGATCATTTTCAAAAGGCCAATTTTTTAACTGAATGAATACTTTGGGGAACTCTCCTCCACTGCACTTTCCCAAGGATACTTTCTAAAAGACGAACAAGCACTGAGAAAAAGTTGAGTCGATTTTTAGAACCAATTAATCTGTTCTATAGGTTCTATTAACCTATAATTTTGGCATGCAAAATCCAAGCAGTTCTTCTTGAACTGGTTTTGTTGTTGTTTTAGTATATGTCTGTCATCCAAAAACCAAATGTTAACTAGACAATAAATGCAGTGACAAGAGATTGCACTATGATCCAATCATATTTGCCTGAAATTACAAAATTTTACTATGAAATTTACTATGATCCAATCATATGTGCCTGAAATTACATTTCAATAATCAGTAAAATGAGACCATTTATTTGAATTTCTTCAGTCAGCTTATCCATTCTCACAAGAGCAATGCATGTTAATAACTATTCTTTACGCATAGAAGGATAGTTTATTTTCCCCCCAGCACCTTGTCCATAATAGATTCATAATGATTTCAAATTATTTGGAAGATTTGCTTCTATTAGCATTAAACAGAATCAATAAAGAATATGCCTCTATAGTATGACCCGTTATCTGGGATATAATAGATAACATTGGGTGCCAATATATCTGTGGAGACAGACATCCACACAACACGTTGTTGTTGTTACATTTTAAATATATTTGCACTAAAAAGGGGACAATTTCCCTGAAATTCTGGAAATTCAAAACTTATGCAACAAGAAAAATCTAATTCCATCAGGGATTGGCTTCCCTTAGCAAGGAAACAAAGCAGCGCAGCTTAGAAGAGGCAGATGCAAGATATAATCCTCATCGCCATCTGCATTGTCCTTCCTTTGCGAGGCCTTTTCCAGACTTGAGCTCGGCAGATGCTGGGGTTAACCTATGGAAGCGGCACAGCTGCGGCCGAACCAGCCAGAAGATGCTGCCCTGGCAAGGGACTTTGTCATGGGACCTGCATAGACTTAAACACCTAGTCTAAATTGCCGGTAAACTGGGACGCTTGACTAATGAGTGCAGTTGTCAAAGACATTTGTTTCAGGAGCAGCCATAGTGCTACTGAAAGGCATCAGGTCATTGTTACAAGGGGCAGTTCAGAGTTGGGGAAAGCTAAGCTATATGTTCCATCTCTCCAACAGTAAGCACATACCTCTTTTGCATTTTTAATGAGAAAACAAACTCATTAGGATCACCTCCAGGAAGACTCGGCCCGTACCCTTTCATTATTGTGCCCATGTGGGTGTCGCTTCGTATGACTTGCAATAATACAGTGGTATTAAAAAAAAGAACAGAACAAGCCCGGCATGTCATTGTGGCCAAGGCACTTTGTTCAGGATTCCATGATAACAAGTGAAACGGGTCTAATTCATACACAGGATGGCACCAGCTTCCATCTAAATGTCACTGGAACAATGCCGCATCATTGCAAGTGCTGGGCAACACAGTGGCCTGCTGGGGAGCTTCACTTGTCCTCCCCATCCACCTCCCCTCCAAATATTGCTGGAATTTGTTCCTACTATTGCAAAACTCTTGGCTCTCTGTTTCCTCCCTACCTTCTTCAAAGTGTTGAAGAGGATTTTCAGCTCAGCCCCAATTTTAATACAACACACTTAAAAAACCACAAGGATGCCAGTTAAAGGAAAAGATTTATGGCTCATTATGCAAACTCACCCTGCCTCCAGAAAAGCTTAAGGAAATGCCTCAATTTAGATTGCTAAGGAGGCCCCTGTGGTGGTACAGTGGGACATGGCTGGGGAAATGAGCTGCCGGTTTGAAGCACGTTTGCAAGGCTGCAACTTTTCACCTCCAGCTCCATAAGCAAGGACCGAACTCTGGAAGCCATACGGGGTCAGAGATGAGTACACCCCTTGCTCAGCCTACTGCACGAAGTTACGAGGGATCAGGTTAGCTGCTCTTTTGATTGATTCAAATACTCATCACAGTCTATTTTTAAACAGAAGAGATTGTATCTGCTGATGTGCAGATTGGGCAGGAGCCGAGGTGTCATGCAAATGCTCCTGGAAGGAAGTAAGAAGTAAGCCAAAGAATTAGCTTGTCCCAATCTGTATGCAAATTCAGCTCCACCATGTCATTAACATTCGGGTTTCCAGAGTCTGAGGTAGAAGAGATTCACCTTCTAGCCAGCCTGAAGGCTGAACCAAATGCCGCTAGCAAAAGACAGAGATGAAGGTGCACATTAAGACTCAAGTGCAGGAACATACACAGTTACCAGGAGTAGTTATGAGCCACTGGTGGCCTTTCAGATGTTTTGCCCTACAAGTCCATCTTCCCTCACCATTAGCTAGATAAACTAGGACCTTTTGGCAGATATAGGCCAAAACTAATGAGGACCACAAGTTGCCCACCCTGCATTAATGTCAACAAGCCCCCACCCCCCACCCCCGGTGTGTTATAACTCTTCCTGTCCAGAATGGTCCATTGGTGAGATGGAGCTAGTCCAGAGCCTTGAAAAAACTTAAAGAAAACTCGCCAACCTAAATCTCTGAAAGCATACCACAAGAGGCAGCAGCTTGTGGAGCTGAAAGTTTCCAGCTCTAGCCCTGGCATCTTCTGACAGGCTCCTCAAGCTAGTTTTCCCTCAGTGTACTGTTTCTACATCATCCCCTTCCTTGCACCCTAGCACCTGTGAGCTCCCCACATTTCCCTGCTGTGTGAAGTTTCACTCCAAGCCAAACTGACCCCTTTCCTCTCCTTGCCCAGCAAAGAAGATGATAAAACCCAGCCAGGCAGAGTTTTATCTGCCAATAGAGGCAGAGGCTCTCTTTAATCCCTTTTTTCTTTTTATTTCTGGCATAATTTTTTACAATATGTGTTCTATCACCCAGCCTCATATTTTATGGAATGTGCTTCTGCTTTACAGATTCATTTGTTCACTTGAGTGTGCCCAATTCCTCTCTTCAGCTCGACCAACTGGGAGAATTCTCATCCTCTTCTAGATAGCTCTTTTGGCTCAGTTAGAGCCCTCCAAGTAAGTTCATTCCATCATGGGAAGCAGAAAGGAAGCGAAGTGAAGCTGAAATGGCTTTGCTTAACCAGGATGACTGGCAATGTCTTGACAGTTCAGCAAGCTCTGCCAAGTGAAAGTAACTGCCACCCTGCGCTTATGGACAAGGAACAGCACTAACCGTAGAAAGAGTGCCAGAACGAATTGTATACAGGAAATAAGCTGGATTCTGCTGTACACATGCATTCATGCAATGTCAACTTCAATCAGCCCCTGGTAAAAAGGCTACAAACAGGGATGGTGGGAAAAAGGGAAGAAGCACCAGAGAGCATCCTTGCACATATACTCTGGTTTCTACAGTGTTGCTCTAGAGCTACTCTCTGCCACAATACATGTTCAGGAAAGACCAATGGAAATACAAGGTCACATCCTTTGTTACATTCAGACATAGTTTAATAATTTCACACAGTTGAGAAATACCTTATCTAATGCCAATTGTTAGAAAACGTATGGCACAAAAGATCCAAAACTCATCAAATGTTGGCAGTGAACGTTAAGCTCTAACCCAGCCTCTCTCAGCTTGATGCTCTCCGGATGTTTTGGACTTCGGCACCCATCAGCAACTGCCAGCATGGCCAATGCTGGGAGTCAAACATCCAGAGAGTCTCAGGTTGGGGAGGCCACTCGAGATACAGAAAAACACATTATAAAACTCCAGTCGCAGTTACTTACAGTTCAGGAGTCCTTTTGAAGAGACCAGCTTGAAAGGCAAAAGCCTCCAGAAGGTACCTATCAGTATAATAAATATTGTGTAAAAAATCAGGAGGCATGATTCCGGGAATAATGCTGCAACATTAAACAAGTGTGGATGTTAATGAAGGGTAGAAATAGTTGCTAGCCACCCAACTTATGAAGAGAAAGAGCTATATAAAGGTTCATACTCAAAACGTAGTAGAAGAGCTATGAAAATGCAGTCGTATTTATTACATCTGAATCTTGTCCTTCCTCCAGTGGATTCAGGGGAGAGAACCCCTCAGGAGCTCATCATGATTATCCTTTTGACCACAGTGCATCCAATGCCATGGGGCTGACCTATCAGGAAGCACCTGCTCCCACACACCAGGTCATCTGATTTTTGTCCATCCTCCTTATTCATGGGAGCCCCCTCCCTCACCCGAAGAGCTGTTCCTGTTCCATCCCTCAGAAGCAGCTGTGGGACACAGCCCCAAGGATAAGAAGGGAGAGGCAGCAAGAAAATATTTCCTGCCTTTCCTCGGCATACACGCTTCCCGCTTGTGCAAAGCCCCACTGAGTAAAGCTCACATGTCTATGAAAACAGGACAGGTGGACATTTCATCAACACTTCCAAGTCCAACTTCTTGAGGTAGGAGAGGAGCAAAGGGAGAGAATCCTTGTGGTTTTTTGTGTATATTTAATCCACTAGCCACTAACAGGGACAATCTTATGCCTGTTTTATGGGAATTACGGGGGGAATCCTACAACTCTTACACACAAGCCCAGACTAAACTGGAATTTCATGCTAGGAGCTGTGGAATGTTCTGTCTAAAAATGCATGGGATTTCTGACTAAATATGCATGGGTTTCACCCAAATAGAGACACTATTTTAGTTGCATGCCTATTTAATAACAGCAGCAGCAACAGATTTAAAAACTGCTGGTGACAAGTGCCATCTTGGAAGAGGCATTCTCTGTTGACATAGAGAGAATGCCTCTTACAAGATGGACAAATATGTATACCATTGAAAATGCAAAGCATTTTCTTTCTTTCTGTATATTACTAGTAATATTCTATTACTAAAACTGTCTTTATATGCGTACACACTGTATACTTACATTATACTGATAGATAAATGCATGCAAATATAACACACATGCCTTTTGCAGAACCAATGTCAGTGTGTACAGTACTGTTTACTTGCATTTAAATGCTGTTTTTATGGTGGCTTGCATTATTTTTTATTCTTAACATTTTATTTTCTCCTGTGTAGTATCATCACTGTTGTGAAATCTGCTAACAGTCAGAAAGAGGGATTTTTTTAGATACAGACACACAAATCAAGAAAAGCAAAGTAGAATAAGAAAGGACAAAAAAGTATTAAAACCAATAACAGCATTGAGAAAAATACATAACAAATAAATGCTTACTGGATTCTTCTGGTAGAATTTAATGTTTAAAAAGAAGTCAGCTTTTCAATAAACCTGCCACTGTATTGCTATTTTTTTCCAATAAACTTGTCAGTTTGTTTTCTGAAGTTGTTTTTAGAGAAGCACTTTAATGTCAGGGCAATAAACCAAGTCCATTTTCCACACTAGAATTATGGTGCTGCATGTTTCTAAAATGCAAAAAGAAATTTTTGCTGCTGCTGCTGCCGCCAACAAATTAATACAGTTCAAGTCACTTAGTTCAGTTTGGAGGGATGCCCTCTTTTGTCAACAGCACAAGCCACTCAGAAGTAAATCCTACTGAATCCACTAAAGTTTACTCTGCACTAATCCTGCACAGGACCACCGCCTCCATAGTGCACGAATCAGCTCTCTGCCCTGCCATGTTCACCCTTTGGGTAAGGGGTCATTGCTGTGATGCTTCTCAGCTTGTGTCAAGAAGCCCACAGTGAGGAAAGGCTCCTTCTCTCAGGGCCGGTTCTCCCGTTGGGCAGAGGGAGGCAGCTGCCTACACAGCAGCAGATTGTGGGATGAAAGGGGCAGTGACACAGACCCTTGGGCCACCACTAATGGATCATCTCGGGGAGGGATCTGTGTGCAAGCCATGCAGCTCACCCTCTGTTCCTTAACCTCCCCGGCTGGCACCCGTGCTAGCGATGGGGCAGTCTATTGCATTGCACCTGAGACAGGATTACCTTAGGGGCACAGGGCATACTGCCTGGCACACAAAACTGTTCTCCAGAGCCTCGCCTCCTCCTCAGCATCTGCTGTCTTAGGCAGTCATCTCACTGCCCAGTGCAAGGCCAGCCCTACCTTCCATCACTTTATTTGGTCCTATAGATATAAATCTCAGCTACTTTATCAAAAATGAATCCAGTCGGACTAATTTAATCTCATTTTGGACTGGGTAACCTCCCAAATGCACAGAGGGAACACTGTGGACACAATCTACCTAGACTTTAGCAAAGCTTTCAACATAGTGCCCAACGACATCCTGATGAGCAAATTAGCAAAAGGTGGACTAGGTGGAAAAACTATTAGGTGGATCCAGAATTGGCTGCTAAATCGGACACAAAGAGTGCTCATCAATGCACCTTCCCAAATTGGATGGAGGTAACTAGTGGGGTGTCACAGGGTTCAGTCCGGGGCCCAGTGCTCTTCAACTTCTTTATCAATGATTTAGATGAGGAAGTACAAGGAAAGATAATCAGATTAGCAGATGATACAAAACTGGGTGGAATAGCAAACACCCTGGAAGACAGGATAAAGCTTCAGGGCAATCTTGATAAACTTGTACACTGGGCTAAAAACAACAGAATGAGATTCAATAAGGACAAGTTCCCCACAAAGGAAAAAGAAACCAAATGCATCGATACAAGATGGGGAATACTTGGCTCAACAGAACTGAAAAAGAAAAGATCTTGGGGTAAGATCTTGTGGACAATGGGCTAAACATGAGCCAACAATGCGATGTAGCCACCAAAAGGGCAAATGCTATTTTGGGATGCATTGACTGAAGTATTACTTCCAAATCACGTGAAGTAGTAGTTTCCCTATACTCCTCACTACTCGGACCTCTCCTGGAATACTGTGTCCAGTTCTGGGCACCAAGATTTAAGAAAGATGCAGGTAAATTAGAAAGGGTGCAGAGGAGGGCAACAAAAATGATCCAGGGTTTGGAAACACTGCCCTGTGAGAGAAGACTGAGAGAACTGGGCATGTTCAGCCATGAGAAGAGAAGACTGAGAGGGGCATGATATCCCTGTATAAGTACCTCAAAGGCTGTCACAAAGAGGAAGGTCAGGATCTCTTCTTGCTGATGCCAGAATGGACACAGAATAATGAATTCAAGTTGGAACAACCCAGATTCAGGCTGAACATCAGGAAAAGTTTCCTCACTGTCAGAGCAATATGACAGTGGAACCAGCTGCCTAGAGAGGTGGTGGGCTCTCCCACACTAGAGACATTCAAGAAGAAACTGGACAGCCATCTGAGTGGGATGGTGTAACTTGGGGTCCTGCAACAGCAGGGGGTTGGACTCGATGGCTTTCATGGCCCCTTCCAACTCTACTATTCAATGATTCTATGCATGTGAAACTCACACTTTGACAGATGGGTGGAAATGACTCCATCCTGTCCCCAATCTAAACAAACCACAGCAAAATTGTGAAGGAAACCCCATTGTCAATTCCACTCTAAATTTACAAGAATATAATTTCAGCTTTAAAGAATTGCAGCTAGCTTAAAAAATGTGTGGCTACTGTGAGAATAAATGTAAAGTTCCTTACATTTCATGTTTCATTTCATGTCCCAATTGCTTTGAAAGTAAAATCAGCTTTATGCCACATTTGCTGCAGGAGAATTTTGCTTTATGGCCAACTTTAGTGTGCAAAGGTTTCATACCATTTACACCATCAATGCAGAGACTTCCGCCTTTAATGAAGAGCCAGTATGGTACAGAGAACAACAGCCCCAGACTGGAGCATATAAAGGCCAGTCCAAGCTCCAGCCAGCCATGTAGCTCTTGCTTTCTTTGAAATCTGAAGCAATCAAGGCAGGCAAGTTTAACCTCCCATCAGGCGCCGAACTTCATCCAAATAAGAATAGACAGCATATCACAGGATAAGGAAATGGGAAGGATCTAATTTTTGGTGGCAGCTCTCAGAAGTTAGCCTGCTCCAAGAATTGGAGTCATCAACAGGCACAGTGGTGAGTCCTCTTCAAAGCTTGGGCCACGTACAAGCCAGCAGCTAATACCAACCCTGCAGAACACACAAACGCAAGGTCAAGAAAGTCTGCTCCGACTGATGCTCATTTTTCTGGGACTTGCTCCTAATCTGTTCATGCAAAAGCCAAAACAAACGCTACCACTAAGAAGCCAGCAAACAGAGCAGACCAGCAGAACAAGATCCATGTACATCCAATGTGGTATAGTGGTTGACCTGTCAGACTAGGGCTAAGGAGACTCGGGTTCAAATGTGAACTCAGCAGTGAAGCTCATTCGGTGGCCTTTGACCCATCACTAACACTCAGGAGGACACAGCCAAGCAGAAGACTATGTCTGCCACCTTTTGTTTTTGGATAACAACAGGCTTAATAAGACAGATAAAGCAGGCGGACTCTTAAAATTGGCCACTACTTTATTGATAGCACCTGTTCAGAATAGTTTGGTTTAGCGTGCACAAATTTCCCATTCCCTGTCTCGGAATACTGACAGAGATGACTCCTTGAGGTTTCTTCTGGAGGAATGGAAGACCCAGGAGGCTGACACCGATTGCAGTGCAGGTTATTTCTGCTTCCAGGACTGCTCAGGGGGAGCACGCACAGGACTCAAAGACAGAGATGTCAGACCAAGGCTCAGGTGCCTCTGGAGTTATTCCCAGCTGAAACAGCAATGCTTAAAAGGGCATTGCCACACCCGTTCCGTGGAGCAAGTTTCAGTTCATAGGCTAGGCTACTGATCACCGCGTGGTGTTGCACGAGACTGAAGGGGGATGCATGCACATACCAGTCGGCCCTAATAGGGCACAAGTGTTAGCACCCAGATCAGCATCGACCCCAGGCATAGCTGGGCCACCAGCAAGGCCCCACACATCAGCAGGGGG